TTAAACATCTACTGACTTTCACGTTAATAGACAGGGAATTTTCCTGAACACGTTAAATTCTGAGGTCAGAACGATATTCTGAAAGAGCTTGGAGAAGTCTGACTTACTATGGCAACAACTACTTTCACTGCTTCCAGTCCTACATTTCTAGAATATTAAGGCTGAGTTGTCCAAATTGGTGGTTACAAATGTCTGAGTAGCGGTCACTCACATGCATGTGTGATAACAGGTGAACTTCTCGATCTTTCTGACGTTTACTATTCTTGAGTAGAAAACAGACATAAGAATATTTACCTCACAGGCTTGTGACTAGGAATAAACAAGATTTCAATGTATTCATTTACTCGGCAAATATTTACTAAATGACTATGAGGTGTCAAACATCGTGCTAAGCAGGGAGATTACGGCAGGGAATCAAACACATTACCTGCCCTCCTGTAGCCGACAGTCTGGTAGAATTTAAGGTATAAAAAAGTAAGCCACACAGTTCTTTGCATAGAATCAATGCTCCGTTAATAACACTGATGGCAACAGAAGTTTCTAGAAGTTTGTTTTCTTCCCTTCCCTTTTTTGAAACTAATATGGCTGCTTTATCTTCAGAGATCTGAGTCATGAACGTTGGGGCGTTTACACTGGAATCTCCATGAAGAAGATTGTCCAGTCCTGTGCCTTGCTTCTCCCCGCATCATTCTTCTTAAATCATTTACTAGTAGAAAATCTGATCATAGATCTAATCTGAAAAATCAACATACATTCAGCCCAGTAGTCTCTGGGAATCCACAGAACTTCTTAAAAAAATTATTATTTTTTTTGAAATCAGTCTTGCCTGTATGGGAGAGCTTACAAACAGCCTTTAAGGAAATGGCCAGCTAATAAAGAGTACTTTCAAAATCTGGATAAGGATTACTTACTCTGTGTTAACCAAGCATCTCAGTCTATGCGCCCAGTTCGCATGTCCATGAGCTCTGCCGGGATCTACCCAGTCAGAGCGCGCCTAGCAAGGAGACACTGCATGTCCAAGAAATCAGCTTAGAAGCCGCACTAAAGGAAAAGCAGCCTAGCGAGGTCCACGTGAGACCTGCCCGGGGAACGTGAGAGAAGATCAGGAAGGTTAGTGTGTAGAAACAACGCCATGCACGGGGTAAGCTGGAACGAAGTCGCACATGCAGGGAAATTCCATCGCCCATGCGAGCTACGGGTGTCTGTTTTAACTGAAGGGCTTGCTGGAGCTGCCGTGGCCGGGGCCAGCTGCTCTGCACCGCCAACTGTCAGCTGGCGTGGCCAGCTCTCACCCGTGTGTGCTGAGAAAACCAGCGTGCAAGTGGGTCAGCACGGG